CTGAGAGGCTGGCAAGTGAGGCGGGGAACGTTGGAATCTGCAGCAAGCAAGCCTCCCTGCTCGCTTCAGTGCCTGGCTGCCGGCCGCCATCTTGGCTGACAGTTAATTTGCATATACTCACTGATTAGCCAATGAAAAGGGTAGCGGTCGTACGCTAATTACCATGTTTCTCTTTTATTAGTGTAGATTATATATATATATATATTGATTTTAGAGAGAGAGGAAAGGAGAGGGAGAGAAACGTCAACGTGAGAGAGTAATATTGATCTGTGGCCTACCTCCTACATGCAACCCGACTGGGGACTGCACCCTCACCCGGGCATGTGCGTTGACCGAACCAGCAACTTTTTGGTGCACGGGACGACGCTCAAACAACTGACCCACACCGGCCACGGCTGGTTTTCATTCATTATGTTCAGGTAAATTATTTTATCTACAACTCATTTTCCCGGGAGTGAGAGGCAGCTGCTCGGGTGGCCCCAACGATCCCACTGCCTGACCTCACACTCCCCTTGTGTACAGGGCCTGGACCTAGGACTTGCCCCTAAGAAACAGTGATGGGCGGTCACTCCCGGGATCAGGTCACAAACACTGTGGCTTCCATCCTGGCTCCTCCCTTCCTCACTCTGAAAGCCCTGGGCTGCCCGGGCAACATGGCTCTGAGAGTGGATTCTCACACGGGTTTGGGGGAAGAGGGCTTTGAGGTGACTATACCCCTGACGACACCTGTGAGGGAGCCTGAGCCAGAAGACTCCACTCCAGAATTCAATCCACAGAAACGGGAGTAATAAGCGCTTGTTGCTTTAGGCCATTGAGTTTGGGGGAAACTTCGCACACAGTGACAGATCACTAATAGAAGGGACAGGATTGTCACACACAGTAGGCGCTGGATCTTGTAAGGTTGGGAACTGTCACTCTAGGACAGTGATGGCGAACCTATGACACACGTGTCAGAGGTGACATGCGAACTCATTTTTTTGGTTGATTTTTCTTTGTTAAATGGCATTTAAATATATAAAATAAATATCAAAAATATAAGTCTTTGTTTTACTATGGTTGCAAATATCAAAAAATTTCTATATGTGACACGGCACCAGAGTTAAGTTAGGGTTTTTCAAAATGCTGACACGCCGAGCTCAAAAGGTTCGCCATCACTGGTCTAGGGCGCATGCCCTAACAACTGGGCGCACCACGCCATCTGCCCTCTTTGAATACAACCTGCCCTTGAAAACTCCTTTTGGATTGAAATTGCTTCCCTGTGGGTGACACACTCTTTGGCAGTAGCCTGACTGTGTGTCATGTGCTTCAGTCGTGAGCCATGATGTGACCTCAGCCCCTGAGGGGGGGTGGGGGACACAGGGATACCCTCACACACACCAGTAAGCCCCAGGGATCTGTTTCATCTCCTCTGTCCCCCCACCCCCGGCCGCCCACCCTGCTGCCAACTCCGACAGCTCCCAGCTGCCTCTCTGCTCTGCTCTGCAGTGAGTGAGACCCCAGGAACTCGGCTCCTTAGAAAACGGGCTCTGCGTGAGGGTCCCAGGGCCTCAGAGGAGACGTGTGAGGGGAACCGCGAGGACCATGCAACGTGCTTGGCTCTGCTGAGGCCTTTTTGCCCTCAAGGTGGGCCCTGGATTTGCTCCAGATGCGAGGGGTCAGTCGGGGACGAGATTCTGGGGACAAGTGGGCACAGGCAAGGCGACTGGTCAAAGCGACTGCGGTGACTGGGTGCTGGGGGTGGTCTGGTCACAGGGCCAGGGACAAAGATGGGGGGGGGTCCTGCGACTTCGGGGGGAGGGGCACTCACGGCGATGAGCACGATGACAGAGAGGGTGTAGTACACGGAGTCTCGGCACACGGCCCACCACGTCAGCTGGACCACCTGCGCGCAAAGGGCTGTCAGCGGCTATTGGCTGGAGAGACGGGGGAGGGAGCGGTACAGGCCCCACAGGGACACGCCCACGGAGCTCCTAACTGTGCCACCCGAAACAAACGCGCCTGGCTGTGCGGGGGCGCACTGTGCTCTCCATTAGATTCTGGCGACAGAATGGAGCCATGGGATGGACGCTCGTAAGTGACGGGAAAGCCGCCCCTGCTCCTCCCAAGTCGCAGGCTGCACAGCAAAGCCCTATGTCCAGGTGGAGGCCAGAGGCACTGGCTCGTCCCAACGCTGGAACCTCCTGGTGGTAACTGGCTACCCTCCTCTGCCTCCCTCGGCCAAGCAGGGCCTACCCACGAGCTCAATGCTCTGAGGTCAAGTCTAACGGCACCACCCCCACCCGCCTCCCGTGGCCTGAGCACCAGGAAGATGCGGGTGGGTATTAAGGACAGGCCAGTTCTGTGCTCCCTGCCGGGAGGCCCAGGGCCCCAAACACTTCCAGAATCCAGCTCAGGGCAGGAGGAGACAGGCTCGCTCAAAGCCTCGGGGTCAGGGCCATGGTCTCCCCACTGCTGTCCTTCACGTCACTTCCCGAGGGGAGAGAAACCACTGACCTGCCCCGCGAACAATCCGCAAACGCCGATGATACACAGGATGTTGAACACGGCAGAGCCCACGATGGTCCCAACCCCGACGTCTCCGTGGGTGATGAACACGCCTGCAAGGGAAAGGCACGAATCCTGCCCCGTCCGCACACCCAGGCTGGCTGCAAGGTCTGTGTCCCCCTGACTACCCCCAGCCTCCCAAACCAGGGGAGTTGTTCTCACTACCAAACAGAACACCCGCAATGCCCTGAAAGGCCAGCTACTCTAATTCTTCCATTTTCTCGAGCAGCTTATTTAAGACATAATTCACATGCCATAAAATTCACCCGTTTAAAGTATCAATTCAGTGTTTTGCAGTATAGTCACAGAATTGTGCAACCATCACCACAATCTAATTTGGGAATGTTTTCATCACCCCAAAAGGAAACCCTGCACCCGTTAGCACCCCCGCTCCACCCATTAGTGGTTCCACCCCAGGGAACCATGAATGTACTTCCTGTCTCTCCAGCTCTCCCATTTTACAGATGAGGAAAACTGAGGCCCAGAGCTGAGAAATGCCTTGACTTGTCAGGGCACCAAACCTGGGCTCTCTCCAGATCCTGTGTCTCTGGCTGGTGGGATTTCTTACCAATGATAGAAGCAAACAGCTCAGGCGTTGAGCTTCCCGCAGCCATGAAGGTGGCTCCAGCCACATCTTCACTCAGATGGAGTTTCTGAAACAGAAATGACCGCAGACCCTCAGGCTGTGACGTGGGGGCAGGGGACGCACTGAATGGACACCTGGGCAGTCAGCTCCTCCCCTGGCAGCGTCTCCTCCCTGGACCAGAACACACGCCCTCAGCCGCTCTACAGGGCCCTCAATCCAGAATCCCACCCCTCCCCCATCTGGAGGTGAGCACGTCGCTCCCTCGGAGGGGGGCCAGGGGAGGTGAGACAAAGCCTTTGCATACTTATCCGGGTCACTCATTATTTAGGGGACCCAGGTTAAGTAGCCAGTCCCTGATCTTTGCTCAGCACCCGGGTAAAGGACCGAAGTGCCTGCCCCTAACAATCCATGTCCCAGCTGTAAATGTCACCCCAATATGGCCTCAAACAGCTGGGAGATTTCACGTGGGTAAAGTGTGGCAAAGCCCTGAGCAGTCTGCACACAGTAGGTGCTTTTCCTTTCTTGACTGGAAGCCAAGACTAAGGCAGAATAGAAACAGACTGGGGTCTTGTATACGGCTAGGAAGAAGGAAGTGGAAACTTAACGAAATAATTAAAAGGAGGAAATGTCACCCTGCCAAGGTTGGGACAGAGGGTGTTCCCTGCCCTTGCAGCTCCGCCTCCTCCCCTGGGACACAGATCCCTACCTGGTACAAGCCTCTGACACCTGGTTATGGCAAATGCTCCCTAACTAACCAGGTTTGGCTTAACTGCGGCAGCCAGCGGGCCTGCCTGCCTTGGGGCCAGACATGCTGGGTAGCGGTTACGCGCTGGGAGCACGTTCTTCTGCCAAGTCTGGGAAAGGACGCTGGCTGCCCGCACACTCTAATCTGGGTGTTTCAGAGTGAGACTTCGCCATGGCGACACTGAGTGACCGGCCTGCCAGGCTGCACTGCCAGGCGCTCCCAGTGCCCCTTGGCCAGGCACCGACGTGCCACAATCACCCCAGCCCCTCCCAGACTTCACCGCAGGTCCCAAGTCTCTCCCACGCACCTCGCAGATCTTTTCCAGAGACGGAACGAAGAAGTCATCGCACACGATGGCCAGGGCGTAGAACATGTATAGAGCCTGCGGTGGAAGCGGGACAGAGAGAGAGTCAGTGAGGGCACCTGCCACCGAGAAGGCACGGCCGGGCATCCATCACACCCAAACCAGCCTGCAGGCAGAGGTGGGGCACACAGGCAGGCCTAGAGGAAAGTTCAGGCACCACACAGACTGACTCCACTCCCTCAATCCCCTCACTGACAAAACGGGAAACTGAGGCCCAGAGAGAGTGCTTGCTGGGCAGCAGAGGGGACTAAAACCCAGGCCACACGGCCTTGTGCTCTGTCCTCTCGCCTTAAAGCTGCAGCTCTCCCAGCAGTGTATGCCCTCGAAAGGCAACACCTAACCTTTGAGGAAAAGCATTTAAAATCACCATTTTGAGCCTGGCTGGGATGGCTCAGTGGTTGAGCACTGATCTATGAACCAGGAGGTCATGGTTTGATTCCCATCAGGGCACATGCCCAGGTTGTGGGCTTGATCCTTACCATTGATGTTTCAATCTCTCTCTCCCCCTCTCCTTTCCTCTCTGAAATCAATAAAAATGTTTTAAAATCACCATTTTAAGAATTTAAAAATTATAATCCTGATTTTCCTCTAGTTTTAGTGAAGGCACCGTTTCTTGAGATCTGGCATTTCCCGGGGCGCCACCTGATGTTGGCACAAGTCATTGACAATGGGAGGTTCATGGGACAGAGAGTCAGGATTCTAATGCCGATGCTCGCACTTTTTTTAAGACTAACTTAAGTTACGCTTCTAGGTCTCATGTCTGCCTCTGTTTAATGACAGAGTGAGAACAGATCAGTCATTTCAGAATGACTTTCCATCCAGCACCCCTCACCTGCCCTGTCCACCCAACGCAGCTCTACTGAGCTCACCTTGGTACCAGGCACTATGTTTGGCATCAGGGATGCACGGTGAGGACACCAATAAAAGCCTCTGCCTCTTGTCACTTAGCTTCGTGGGGGACAAACAAATGGGCAAATACAGTATCTCTTACTGCCAGGGAAGAGGATGTGCAAAGGTCCTGAGGCAGGCGTGCGCTCGATGCATGTGAGGAACTGCAAAGTCCCTGGTGCAGGTAGAACACAGTGAGAGTGAAGTGGGAAATGGAGGAGGGGAGGTTGGAGGGAGAGGCAAGGATGAGGACCCACAGAAAAGAGATGAAACTTTACCCTCAGCACTGGGGAGAGCCACTTCTCTCGGCAAAGAAAATGAGATGTGAGTGCCCTGTGCGCAAAGGGGGGCCAGCCTGGGCTGCTCCACCCACAACAGCGTGACACTCTGACAACCTCACAGTTACTAACTACGACCAAATAAAATAAACGGGAGACACGTCCGCTGTGGCCGAGGCGTCCGGGGCAGGTGTCTACTGCCGTCCAGGTGTGGCCGTTCCTGGATTTGATTATCTTTGGGAGGAAGCAAAATGAAACAAATACTGGGGGTGCAGATAAAGGAAGAGTGAGGTGACAGAGACTCCACTACAAATCTCAGGATTCTGACTTGAACTGACACCCCCAGAAATCCCCCCCCAACACTGTCTCCAGGCAGAGGGTGTTCCGCGAAGCCGGAGCCTCTCGCTCCCCTGAGATCTCAGACACCAGAGAGAAAGGGGGGCCAAGGAGGGGCTACTGCTCCCCTCACTTGAAGCTGGCTCTACGGCTGGGGCCTTCACTTCCTCCAAAAAAGGGGTCAGTAAACCCTTTCTTAAAGGGCCAGACAGCAAGTACTTTAGGCTTCGAGGTCTTTATTGCTGTAAAACAGCCATGGAACGGGTGTGCCTGTGTTCCAATAAAACTTTATTTATAAAAACAGGAGGTGGGCTGGAATGAGCCCTCCAGCCACAGTCTGGCAATCCCTGCTCTAAAGGGTTCCTGTAAAATTCCCGAGGGGCTCTGCGGTTCCAGGTTTTTCTCGGCAATGCCAAGCGTGAGGCAGAGCAACAAAACTAAGGGCTGAACTCACACTCTCTTGGTGAAGAAGGGGGAGTGCATGAAAAAAAACCAACAGAACAGAGAAATTAGGAAGATCATAACTCTATTACAGAAATAATATACAGGCCTGTCATTCAAAACCTGCCGACGATCTTCATTCTAACCTTCATTTCCATTAACGGCGAATCCTGTTAATTAAAACTTCACTCATTCATTACCCACTGCGGGCTGCTACCAGTGTGAGAACCCCAGCTTTTACTTTCTTAATTATCTCTTGCAAAGACTAATATCTGGTTGGGTTTAAATATATAAGCAGATGGTGCTGAGCGGTCGGGAACCTAATCAAGAGGAAACTGTGCTGTGTTTGATCCGGTGGCCACCTTCCTACCACAATGGGGCTGGCAGGCCTTTCCTGCCCAGGGACCCGGAGTTAACAATCGGTGGCTCCCTGGACATGGAGTCTCTGTCACAGCTCCTCGGCTCTGCCATAGAAGCAGAAGCAGCCACTGATAACACAGAAATGAATGGAACGGCCGTGTTCCAATAAAACTTTATGTACAAACACGGGCGGTGGCCACAGGCTGTGGTTCGCCTACCCCTACCTGAGATGAGCAACTTTCACCCATAATGTGGGTTTGAACCCACGATTCCTTTTTGAGTGGCTGCTTCACCGCCACCATTGGGCATCAAGGCCCGTCTGAGTACAGGGGAGGTTTGAGAAGGGCACCGGAGTTTTACACTACAGCCGTGCAAGGTGGTAGATTTGGGGGGATCATGGCGGCAAGCACAAAGCACGTATTAGGCGCCAGGCAAGGCCTGCTGCACTCGGCCTACATTCACTTGCACCACCGCCACCATTGGGCATCAAGGCCCGTCTGAGTACAGGGGAGGTTTGAGAAGGGCACCGGAGTTTTACACTACAGTACTGCAAGGTGGTAGATTTGGGGGGATCATGGCGGCAAGCACGCGCAGAGCACGTATTAGGCGCCAGGCAAGGCCTGCTGCACGCGGCCTACATTCACTCGCAGGTACGCGCCTGGGAAAGACGCTGTCACACCCATTTTAGAGAAGCAGAAAATGAGGCATCAGGTGACCCAGATTCTTGTCTTGGCTCGGGCCACGCACTAGGTGACACGGAGCATGTTACCTAACATCCCTGACTTTGCTTCTTTGTGGGTCCAGCACCTGCGCCCCTCACAGGCTCTGACAAGGACTGCACGTGACCTTGGACATGCCGTGGCTCAGCCGTGCTCTGCGGTCAGGCTCCACCTGTACACCCCTCCCGCCCCCGGCCGTGGGAGCACCCGCCCCGTGAGGGCCACTTACACCGAGGATGTGCAGCAGGACGGCTCCATGCTGTCGCTCCGTATTGGAGAACAGGTCTGTGGGGAACTCGTGAATGGCTGGAAGACAAGAGGACACGGCAGCGTTAGTGCTGAATGGGAGCTGAGGCTCAGGGGCGGGTCTCAGGGCAGGACCCGGGCCGAGGTGGCACAAGGGAGAGGGGAGGGCTGAGAGCACTGGCCCTGGTCCCTGGTCCCTGGGCCCCCTCAGGTCCACTCAGGTGCCAGGTGTGCTTCCACTAGCATCTTGGGTCATCGCACACCACGCGTCGGCCCTCCTCCGGCCCCCAGCATGTCCCTGCCGGGTGGACACTGCCACTCTCATCACCTGGGGTGGTGGGCAGCCTGCGAGGTGCGGAGCCCTCTGTGCCGGAAATCAAACACTTGGGGTTCAGTACCATCCCTGACACCCCATGACCCTTCACAAGGTGTCTGAGCACCAGGTCTGCCTTTCAGGCCCCGGGAACACTCCTGGGTAATGAAGGAATCATTCCTCCGCACCCCCCATTCGAGATGACCAATGGATAAGTACTTTGTGTCTGCGGGTCCCCCGTCAGACACCCCACACCCCAACATCCTTCCTCATCACATCAGCTCGACCGGAAGCTTCTAGAAATCAGGGATCCACACTGCCCTGCACTGCATTCTCTGTGCCTCGGCCGGGCTGCACACAGTAGGTCCTCAATGAACCTTAAAAGTCCATTGAATAAACAATGGTAAACTACTAATACCACTAACAATATGTATCAGCTCGTCCTATTAGAATGCTTGCATTAGCTTCATAAATCCCATAAATAAACTAGAATGGCCTGGTTTGTGGTGGGCGCTTGATAAATGCTTATTAAATAAACTCCCAGAAAAAAAAATCCCTTCTCTGTAAACGTCATTTGGCCCCAAGCTCTGAAAGTGATGGTTTCTCCTTTATATGGAAACTTTTCTGGTTTTTAAGATTAGATTCTCCCAATAAGACACAGAAAACATCTGCTCCCCACACGCCCAGAAAACGCTCCCACTGTACAACAAGCCGCAATTTAATGAAATATAGATTCTTTCACTTCTGGTGTTTTGTGTGTGTGTGTTTTTTTTTCTGTAACCAAATTTATGCAACGGAATTGCTCTGTCCAATATAGATTCTTTCACTTCTGGTGTTTTGTGTGTGTGGTTTGTTTTTTTTTTCCTGTAACCAAATTTATGCAACGGAATTGCTCTGTCAGGTCAAGGGCATGGATCCGCTCCAAGGTCTGCCGGCTCAGGGAGGGAGCACTGCTTCCAGGAGAAATGATGTAACTAACTGTCTGGGATCGACAGGCATTTCTGCCATGAAAACTCGAGATCGCCCCTGGTTCTCCAAACCAGTGTTCTGAGCGCTGGTGATTTATCCAGTCCTGGGAATGCTTTGAAAATTAGAATAAAGTAATGCTGCCTTGTTGCTTCGAGGACATTATCTTCTGGTCTCCGGCAGGGAGGGAACATGGATTATAAATGGCTTTGTCCTTGCTGGGAACAGAATTCTGCTTCAGCCACAGCGCCCCGCCCTGCAGCCCCACGCGCACGCTGCAGGCTGCGTAGGGGAGCAAATGCCACTCAGGCCCTAATTTGCCAGCAAAGACAGCGAGTAACCAGCAGCGCTGCCAGCTGCCAATGCCCCTTCGCCCTCTGTGCCCACCCAAGTCTTTGGGACACATCCTGACCCCGTGAGGCAGGCACTGCAGCCAAAACCGTTCCTGCTTTCCCGATGAGGCTCAGAGCGGAGAGCGACCGGCTCAAGGCCCCCGGCCACCTGAGCCAGGACTCACAGGGGCCCCCGTGTTCCCCTCCCTGGTCAGGGGCTGGTCGAACACGACTGGAAACCGCCCTGCACTGGCAGACAGGAGACCTGGAGAGAGTCCTGGCTCAACTGCCCACGAGCTTGTGGGACCCTGGCTGAGTCACTTAATCTCTCCGTCCCTTTATTTCTGCAGCCGCGGCCTGTGGCCTCTTGAGGTAATGAAACAGTCACCATTACCGGCTGTCAAAGGCTGCAAGCAGGCAGGTGGCCACCCTGCCCTCCCCAGGCGGCAGCTGGTAACTGGGACCAGTGCACTCCCAGTTCAGGGGGTCAAACCCCCTGGAAACTGGTGCTGGGGGTGCAGGCCACGGGGCATGCACGGCCAGAACTCTGTCTCCCCCTTCCTTGTCACCAATAGGAACAACTCCACTGCAGACGCCTGTGCAGGGCTCAGCGCACGGTCCCTAGAAGCAGGTGACTTAGGGTTCAGGAAGTGCCTCTGGCTCCTTATCCCTGTCATGACCTTGGCAAGTTACTTAACACCTCAGGGCAATTCCCTCCCCTACACGGGCCAGGCTGCTGCAGGGATTAAACAAGAGGGAACGTCTGCACAACATTTAGCCAGTCAGGCTGTAAGGACCTTGACTCACAGACTCCTCCCTCAGTGCGCATTCTGGCCCCACTGTCCCAGAGGAGCAGCCTTGGTTTGTGAAGGCAAAAGAGAAGCTAAAGCCAGTTTCGTGGGGAAGAGAGTGGGCGAGGAAAGACGGGCTGTGTTACCACCTCAGTGTTGATGCGGTTTAAATCCCAGCTTCCTGAGAAACCTTTTTTTCTCTTCTCCAGGGGTTTGCTGAGATCCAAAGCCCCATCCACGTACAAGGGCGAGATGCTTGCCTGTCTAGAGGCGCTGAGCCTGCCGGCTGCTCAAATCGCCACCAGAGACAAAGAGGAATCAACAGAGTGCGCACAGGAGGCGTTCGAGGTCAGGCCTAAGCCGATAAGTCGCAGAAATCCCGGGGCGAGGGGTGGGGGAGAAGAGGCGTGTCTGCAGGTGGAGCCCAGCCGGGAAGCCAGGGATGATCCCAGCACTGCCCCTCTCATGGGGTGAAGGTGGGGAGCAGGGGGAGGAGGGGAGGAAAAGCTACAAACTGCTCAGCGGCCAATTCCCCCCTCCTTCACCCCCCTCCTCACCCCTCACC